CACCAAATTTGATTGATTTCCATCCTGACAATTTGCCTTACTAGACATCACCAAATTTGACTGATTTCCAGCATGACATTTTGCCTTACTATACGTCACCAAATTTGATTGATTTCCATCATGACATTTTGCCTTACTGTACATCACAGCCCTGTAACATAGCCCTGAGCTTGATCTAAAAGATGATGCCATTTTAATTAGTTATGAAGTCATGTGACGTCAAATGATGTAATTTGAACTTGGATCCGCCATCCTCGATTTCACTATTTTCTTAGTCAAGAAATAACATAATTCAATACAAAATCAAGCCAAATGCTAATTAAATGTACAAATTTTCGAATTTCGGAAATTCGATAAAGAAAACTGGAAAAAAAGTGCAGAATCATGTCAAAATTTTTGTATCTTTTCCAACCCTACATGAAATTTGCGCTTGAGATGACAACGTCAAAAATGATGCTCACACAATTGACATAAAAATTTTCCCGCGGGATGAATGAACAGCTATCGAAAGTTTCTGCTCCTTACGGTGAATCGTATTTTCAAATATTTAAAAAAACCTTATTGGGGTTGGCATGCACCCTTCCCCCACCNTTACTGTACATCACAGCCCTGTAACATAGCCCTGAGCTTGATCTAAAAGATGATGCCATTTTAATTAGTTATGAAGTCATGTGACGTCAAATGATGTAATTTGAACTTGGATCCGCCATCTTCGATTTCACTATTTTCTTAGATAGTCAAAAAATAACATAATTCAATGTAAAATCAAGCCAAATGCTTATTAAATGTACAAATTTTCGAATTTCGGAAATTTGATAAAGAAAACTGGAAAAAAAGTGCAGAATCAAGTCAAAAATTTTGTATCTTTTCCAACCCTACATGAAATTTGCGGTTGCCATGCCAACGTCAAAAATGATGCTCACACAATTGACATAAAAATTTTCCCACGGGATGAATGAACAGCTATCGAAAGTTTCTGCTCCTTACGGTAAATCGTATTTTCAAATATTTGAAAAAACCTTATTGGGGTTGGCATGCACCCTTCCCCCACCACCCCCCTCTCCGCCCCCGCCATTGCACGTCCGTAATTCTCCCGCAGTTAATCTTACCACGCTTGTTGCGTAGATGTTTTCGTGGAGAATGAAAAAGCATGTAAGGCTGGAATTTCTTGAACTGAAAGTGAGCTAAAAATAACTTGAGAGAGAGATTGCCACGGAAATAGTCTCACATGGGAGATAAACCGCTTAGCGTTCATCCTCTCTTTCTTATACAAGTTGGTACAGTCGATATTAAGAAAACAAACACGTACCCAGGTCGTGTTTTGTAATTTGAATTGCGATATAAAAGTGAAACACAAATGAAACATGTCGATTTTGTGATGTATATAAAAATATATTTTATCGCCGGTCGAAATTGAAAACGTATCCCACGGTTCGAAAGTGTGATATTTCTCGTGTCATTGCTATTTTTTGTGAAGATTTCATTTCAGCTGATGTAGACCACAACTTTGAATTTCATTCTGAGTTCAACTTAAATTTCGGAACGATTTTCAGACTGTTAAAGCCTTTTTGGAAAGGTAGGTGTACAGAAATTTAAACGGAAAGTTTTGTCCCAGAGAATTGTTGTATAATTAAGATAATCTTTCCCATTTTAAAAGGACGGTAATTTTTTGCAGAAGTAAATTGTAAGTGCAGAAGTAAATTGTAAGTGCTCAAGATCAAATTATAAACTCGCCAAATTCGATAAGCCTTTTAAGCATTACACAACATAATATACTCGAGTGGAAAAGTAAATTCAGTCTTACGTGTTCCAGCTGAACTAAACATCGTGAACTAAACATTGTTCTTTGACTCTTTGAACTGACAAAGTAAAAATAAGGGAATTAGAGTTCTTTCTTG